TTTTTTTTTTTTTTTTTTTGTTTTTTACCAAGTAAATTAATGCTAGACAAGGCTTACTAAGTAGTAAAAGAAAAGAAAAAAAAAAATCGAAAACAAAAAAAGACAGAACGAGAAAGCGAGAGCGAGAGGCTAGAGCATGAGCGCGAGTGAGTTAGCACTATGCAGCGAGTGGGAGCGAGACAACAAATGAGTTTGTCTGGGCTAAAGCTTGGCCAGGCCAGACACAACAAAAGTGATATAAAACATACATATAAAAAAGATATAAAGCAAAGAAAAGCGGGAAAGGAAATTAAACTTGCCAAAATAATTAAGTTTAAACATAACACAGACACCAACAGGAAACCAAACAAAATACTAAAATAAAATACTTAAACTATGCTTCTCCATAGCTGAGAAAGCGTTTAGTCTATGGCCTAAAGTATGTAATAAGAGTTCAGCCAGCAGCAACAGCCGCATAAATATATATCTTAGTTTAATAGGCAATCCTTATTATAATACTATTTATAATACTACCGCAGCAACAACAAGATACTAAAAAAATATACTTATAATAATCATTATGAAATCTAATACTGCAACCTTCAAGCTGAGCTTTGCTATCAAATAACAATTTCCCAAATCCAAAATCCAAAATCCAAAAACCAAAAACCAAAACCAAACTATCACTAAAAATACATAATGCTAACAATAAAATACCAGTAAACACAAATATAAAAGAGAACAATGAGAGATTAATCTTACCAATAAAGTTGTCAATTTGCGTTGTCTATTTTCGAATTTGATTTAGAAATTCATTAATAAAGAAGACTGGAATAAAAGCAAAAGAAAAAACAACACAAAATATATACATATATATATGTACATATATACATAGTTACATGTATATGTATGTGTACACACTTACATATATAAATGAGAACAAGGTCAATACAAATACATATGCGCAGCGTTCGAAATGGCATTCATAAGCAAGGAAGCAACTATACAGAGACATACATATATGCATACATACATATGTATTATCGTGTATATATGCATACGGTGCGTATGTGATAGTACATGTAGAGCTCCCAGCCAGTTACGCCCCGAGATAATTTTGATAACAATTTTATTAATTTCTCCAATTCAAAAGGCTCCACAAGAGAACAAAACAAAACGAAAATGAAACAATTACTAAGCTCAATAAATTAAAGTCCAGAGGAATCGATTTCGGCGAGCCGAATTTCAAATATCCTTACAGATATGCCCATATGTAAATTCTTGTTTCAATTCCACACGTTCCAAAAAGATTGTAATAATATACTTATATTTATTGCTGACACGATAAGAAATTACAATATGATACAATAAGAAATTTACAATATGATTTGTTTCGATTCCGCTTGTTCCAACTCATATTTTTGTGCTATCACTGACATGATGGAATATGTTTTAAGTGTATTGCAACCAGCTCAAATATGTTTCGTTTCCACCTGCTCCACGCAAATTGATATGCATATACATATATCTCCTACCTATTTTCATAATAAAAACAAAACATCATTAAATTTCGTATTGTGTTTCAACTCCACTTGTTTGCTTTTATTTTCCAATAACTGACAATCTGGAAAATTGCAAAATGCATTGCATTCCTGATTTTTGCACATTTAAATCAACTACTGTTCCGATTCCAAATGTTCCAGATTAAACTGCCTGTATTGGACTCGAATGCAATCTGCAAGGGTATAAGAACAGAAATAATTATGATAATTATGCATAGTTTAAATATATACACACACATATACGCAGAAACACTCACACACACACACACACATACAGAAAAGTATTAGAACACGTGCAAATACAATTTTGTTTCAAGCGTCAGCTACAGCCAATTTTTTTTAATAGTTATAAAAGAATAAAATGAAAACAGAAATCAAGTAATATACATATATACATATATACACATGTATATATACTATATATAGAGAAAAAGGAAGCAGCGCAAAATGAAAATTGCGAAACTATCGCAAGGAAAAAATGAAAATCCATGTAAATTATGCGTACCACAATAAAAAAAATATAAACAAATGAAAAAGAAAAA